CTTGCACGTGTATTTCAATCAAAATATATCTGACGTGCCCCCGCAGACTTAAAGGCGGTATCAAGCAATAGTGTTTGCGGCACTGGGCTGTCTTGGACCCCACGCGTAAACTATATGTATACGTGAAACATTGGCTGACTGTCATTTGTCGCTTGTTCCGGTTCCTTGCCGGAAGAATTAGAGGAGTGTCCGTCGAGTTTATGTTACATCTGTATACAAGGTATTATTTATTGCACTCCTGCGGTACAGCCTACCTGTTATATCTAACACGCGCAAAACTAACCTGCGCACACTCCAAAACATTCAAGCCCAGTCAGGATACACCTTGGTTTACCCCGCTGCGCATCGACAGCTGAAACCATTGCCAATGCGCAGTACTACTGCACATCACCATTGAAACGGTGCGTATATTTACTTCAGGCAATATGCTATCCTTCTCCCCACTTGGCGAGTCTCGCTATATTGAGAGGCCCCGCATGAAATTAAGCGCGATTGTCTGTGCGCATGGCGCATCGTTTACGTCAGGCTATAAATCCTACGTGGTGCCGGACCCTTCCACAAGTACGTCCTACAATTCCAGGAATGCAGAAGAAATCAAATTTGCCTTCGTCAGCCCCAAAACAATTGAGCCTGCTCTTTTTGTAAGAAACGTAGAGTAACCATGTGCACATATACACCGATAATTCAACCACAGCGTCTATATAGTTCTGGCGGTGCGGATGGTGATACCAGCTTGAGGAATAACTCTGCGAATCAAGCTGTCGCACGTCACTACGTCTACAGTGGCAGAAGTTGCGGCTCTGCGTGGTGCCCTGTACATCACATCCCAGAGACCGAGTAAATGGGCTGTGTTTTCCCACCCGAAACGGACCTTATAGAGCATGCAGTCAGTTTTTCGACGAGTTTGCCATGAACAGCTATACCGTATACGAGGTTGTCAAGCTTCTTCACCACGTCACAAAAACAGGCCACGAAGTCAATTTTCAGTAGCTACCTGGTCATTGTGGGATAAATTGCACAACATTTCTTTCCAGTGTTCGTGCCTGATTTTTTATTCATTTATATATGTTAAACATATTTTTTAAATTCTCTCATCACACCTGGACGGCAATGTCGATCACGGAATAACGCCATCGTGGCCTCCATACTGTTCCCAATGTAGTCGTGATATTTGCTGCACCTCAATACACCTGTAGCAAGCAGCGCAGTCTATGCATGGAAGCGCTGAATAACAACACGAAATGACGTAGATAACGGATCGCCGACACTTCCTACAGTTTCGCTTCGCTATCTGAAAGCCAGTAAAGACGTGATATTGCTTTTTTTTTTACCACAGTTTATCTGTGGCAGCTCAGAACATGGAAGCACTCAGTAACAATACAGAATGGCGTGTAGATGGCGCCACCTGAATACTTGCTATAGTTTTGCCATGTTATAACCAAGCAAACATTCAAACCTGCGCGTAACCAGCCTCCGGAGAAGCACCTGCCACCGCCTGCACTGCCACATACAGGTGGCAAGGAGAGACTTGAATACGAAAATTGCTAAGCGGAACAGAAGAAGAAGAAAAAATCCGACTCCGAATCGGCAGAACGTCGGCACACATAGCCTCCCATTGCCTGGAGCACTCGTCGAGGCTGTACATAATCGTTCCCATGCAAGGCTGCTGCGCCGGATGATAATCGTCGGTTTGGGGAGTCGCGCAATATTTCTGCTGCCCAGTCGTACGCCCAGTCTCACTCTCTGCTTCTTATTTTTCGCTATGCGCCCCCCGTGTGCAACGCCCTGCGCTTGCTATATAGCTGTGTATGCAGCACCCGTGGAGATGGCAGTGGAACTCGCGTCCGCAGAACTGCGGAGATGGCACGCAACCTCCTGCCGTCGAACAAATTGTCCTCTCGTCTTCGTCGGCCTTGTTTATTACACTGCATACGTACGCGAGATGATTGCGCTGCCCCTTGTGAGAAACGACGTGGCCTTTGCGATTCGCTTCTGTCGTGTGCTGCGAGCCGCCTCCCAGCTCTCTCTCTCTCTCTCTCTCTCTCTCTCTCTCTTGTGATATGCGCTCGGCTTGTTTTGCGACACGGTCTTCCTAGAAATCGGCCGTCTTATTCGCCTACCAAGTGAAGAGCGCCCAACTTCACGCTATGTCTGTAGGGTGTGCAGGCTGCGGACATACTTGCATTTTTTTACTTCCCTCACATCGCGTCACCTTGTCTTCGAGGTGACGAGGTGACTCCACATCTTACTGACGGCGTGAAACACGGCGAGAGGTGTCCTATTCAAATGCCAACGTTCCCCACGAAATTTCCTCGAAGTAGGTATTCGGACAGAGAAATTGCCGCCAAGATGAGGCATAGTGTTTGGCCTAAGAGAGAGGGATGGGTACGAGGTCTTCTGGGTCGCAACCCCCCCCCCCCCCGACAAAATTCTGTCTATGAATCTGCATGCCCCCCTCCTGTATACCTAATGGAAGTTTCCTCGATACTTCGGTATTCATGTTCGCAAATTTAAGTATGCATGGCTCATTATTTATGCACGTCCCAGAAGACTACGCTGCAGCTCATTAGAGGAGCTGCCTAAAGTTCTTTTGTGGCCCATAAGCCAAATATGGCACGGCCAAACATTACGTAAGGAATCAGTGAATAGTAATTTCGGATAACGAATCGAATGTGAATAAAAGATAGTGCTATGGTGAATGGAATCAAATACTCGTCGAATAAAGGACGTTCGTTTGTCTCAATTCATATAGCATGAATCTGTCATTCTTGCGTTCGCAACCGGGGCAATATTTGTAGTAACAATGTGCGAATCGATGAATATATAGCCTATCAAAAAGGACTAACTGACGTCAATGCACGTAATAAACTTCATGCATAAAGCACTGAGGGATAAACTTTTGCAAGAGCAAAAGCGACCTTGTGGAAGTGCATCACAACACCGTATACTGCGAGCATCCAACACATACACGCGGGCGCGCTAAATTTTGCTCAGCCGTCATACTTCAGCCATGGAGCCTAGGACCGTGTTTCGAATTAACTCCACGTGCGCACTTAACGCTTGGAGCATCTTTCTGATTTATTCGCTTTGATTTTTTGTGTCCTTTTTTTTCTGCAACGGGATTGCAAGGGGTGGTGGTTCGAGTTATACTTATATATCTGCCGAGCTATATTTTCAGACATGCTATAGCGCTACTCGGCGCAATAAAAAGCATTAGTATTGGCACGTTCTTCCTGTAATATGCAGAGCACGCCGGGGCAACGATTTTCTCGTAGCGAATATAAATGACTACATGGATCGCCTCTGGCTACTTGCAATTATGCATGAACGAATGTATACGATGTCCATGGCTTGTTTACGGGCTGCCCACACAGTGCCATGTTTCTTAACTAAACATCCTGGCTATGTTTTAACGGTCGATAGAGGTCGTACGCGGGTATTCGGCATTTCCGTGAGAGCCTCCAGAGGTAATAGCGTGCTTCAAGTCAGAGATATACAAAGTATCTTATTGATTCGGTGCACTTCATCAAAACATGCTCAAGTCAAAGCGTGTGGGTGCCGTATGCGTGACTCACGCTTACGACCTGAAGTGTATGTATAAAGTCTGTTGGGTTGTATACAATCAACGCCTATAAACATTAATATGAGCCTTGTGCACCTCTTGCAGTTGAGCATTTAAGGTGCCAATGACATGTTGTTGATATTCTACTCCCGCGGCATGCACCACATAACATAACCCATTTCAACGTTCGTCTAACTTTTTTTTTATTCGATATCCCCTTTCTATGCAAGGTCGCCAACAAAGACTTTGTATAGAACATAACTAAGCCGTTTGAATTCGTTTACTCTTCACTATAGCTAAGAGAAAGTTTATGGAACGTTATTCCTCATACGCTGAAGTCTCTTTGTGTGATTGGGCAATGAAAAACGTTCACTTATCACTGCTGACCGCGTTGCACGCATTCAGCCACACGTGCTGTGCATCATTTGCACGCACCGAAAACGTTGTGGTGTTCGAGTACTTGCGTGCGGGAGATGTGTCGACAACGTTGTTGCTATTTAAAGGGTCCATGCAACACTTCTTGAGCATGGTCGATCAGGAAGCTATGCTGATCGGTAGTAAAGGCTCCCGACAACACGCGAGCCGAATACTATAGCGCAGCACATGACCTAGAAATCACAATAAATGATCGAAGTCAGCTAAAAATTGTTTTCTCTTCTCTCGACAAATCACGGAAGACGCTCAAAAATCACTCGTAAAAAGCCCATCTATCAGCCATTGGCCGATTTGAACACGGCGCGCTCGCTCGTTACAGAGATCGCCACAAGAGGCCGCGACTTGTTCACGCGTGCGCGCGCGATCACACTGAGAAGCCGCGCATTCGAAAAATAAAATGAAAAAAAAAATGCTCAAGGTCACGAGGCGCGCGTGACGTGTTTCTTTACCCTTGCCAACCCTCCCTGCTTAGCTTCCAGCGCTTTCGTCGAAACGAGAGAAGAGAGAATGCAATCGCAGCATGCGACAAATCTTTGTAACTCCACCCGCACTGGACGAATTCCTAAAAATTTTGCAGTGTTCAATTCGTGAGGCAATAAGCTCTTCCAGTGAATCCATTCCATGGTTACTTGTAAAAGTGTTTCAGGGCCCCTTTAAGGAGTGACTTTACAAGGTTCTGTTTAAAAGGGAGCCTCTTCAAGCTGGAAGTCATGGTTTCGGGCTCGGTATACACAGTGGGGCGTCGTGTCTCAAATCTTTCGTCCTGTTAGCTACATACACCGTTCTAACGTCTTGTCTCTCGCATATGTCGTTGTTTAGCCTATCTGTTGCGCTCTTTGCTATAAAGCTATATAATCGACGAATCGGGAAATATCAGGCGTATCTTAAACATACAAGCGTGTTCCTCAAGTTTGCTGTCCGCATGTTCCTTTCATTTCAGCGCGCCGTTGTAACAGCTTTTCTACGGGAGGCTAAAAGTATCTACCGTATTTTGTCTTTGCAGACAACAGACGGGAGAAGGACGAAGAACATCACTGTAAGCAAACACGCTTTCCTATAATAGCATTTCGTTTCTGTTGGAAAGACGTGTCTTTTTTTTTAATTTTTAGCCGTCTGTTTGGTGTCGTTGTGTGTCGGCTCGCTATATATTCTATTGCATGCTATGCACAAGCACGATTTTGACAGCCGGCGTATAAGGATGGTATTGAAATATCGTCTTTGTGTGTTTCTATATAGTACACGGAGCGAAACGGAAATTGATACTCGTAAACTACGTATAGTCCTGAAATTGAGTTGACCGGGCCATTTGCTCTATATAATTTGCATACAGACCTTTTACAATCGCTTTATATCAAGATTAGCTGAAAATTGCTTATTATACGAGAATTTCTGTAGTGTGAGAACCCCTCCATGTGTGCCAATCCAGGAACATGCATCAAAGAGAGCTGAACAGAGATGACCGAACTAAAAAGGACAACATAACACGCACTGCACGAGAATCGTTAAATGTGCCTGCCGGAACGAGTATAGTTCTCAGCCCACGTCACGAGAAGACTAACCAGGTGAATGCACGCGGTTCACAAACATATAAACAGAAGGCACTTCAGACGATTCACAAAGGTGCGCTGCATATATCGTGCCGGCGCGAGCTTCTACGCAGTCCGCGATCGCAACCAAAGCGCAGAGCAAACGCATTCGTACACTCCCGTGGATGCGAAACAAACCATATTGCGGCGCACGGCCATATACAAATCTGCTTTCGGCGAAAGAAACGAGATCCGAGCGAACCTTCCAGGTTCCGAACATGCATCTCTCTCGCGATGCTCGCGTCCATCCCTCAGAAGACCGAGATAGCTATAGACCGACAAAGCGAAAGGGGAAGCTAGAAAATGAGATCCAATTTCACGAAGGCCCACTCAATCTAGTTTCGGTGCCGACTGCATGGGACGCTTGTACAGCGTGCACGTGCACTCTCCATTTTCCGTGCATTTCCGTCCCCGAGGCCATCCATGGCTCGCGTTTACGAACAAGCATACACGCACACATATACAACGTGGAAACACGCCCTTCGGCAGAGAAGGTTCCAGCGTGTGCAGACAATGGAGTTGGGGCGCATCACCGCGATCGGGAGCGTAGTTAGCAGTGACACCGCAACGGGACACGACGACAAATCGAATACCGTCGCGGCTGGCCCCTTTGGGATCGTCCTCCAGGAAGTTAGACGTGCGTGCGGGATGGCGTGGAGAGGAGGGTATGCATGCATCGGTCTTCATGCGAGCGTGACTCAGGTCGGGCCATGTACGTCCGCACCCCGGCTCGCCTCACCTTTCGAGACCCTCGTCGCGTCGGCGGATCATCGAAAATTGCGCTCTTCTCCTTTCCCTCTTCAACGAAGCGGCTTTAATGGCTTTTAGCCCGAAGGGGGAAAAAAAGCGGAGGATGAGCCATCTGTTGGGAGGGCCGAGCACTGCCCGCCAAGCCTCCGGGTTTGGAGATATAAAAGGAAAAAAAAATGTAGCACCGCAACTCACATTGACGCTAAAGCGCCAAAGCTGTTGTACCATAGAAATAAATAAATAAAATAAAAATAAGTCTTCACTGCTCTGAAAATGAGGTTTGGTTCAAATTAAAGAATTACCCAGAAATGTAGAAACTATAGAAGCAGCAGACTAATATGTGTACAAAGTGCGAGAAGTCGCATTCATGGACAACTGAAATTAGCGCCGTATTTTTTTTTTTTGGACTGAATATAACAACAATCAGTCACGCCTGAATCCTGTATATAGTGCTGGCAGAATTTATTTAGTCATTTTCTTTGGCCATAGATCTTTTACCACAGGCCAAGCTCTTTGTACATGCGTAAATTACTTCTCAATAATTTGAAATTACCTATAATCAGAATTTCTTGCTGGAAGGTGCGCATGGGTGCTGGAATCAGCTTGCGCACCCGAAATGTATTAAGAGGAGAGCCATCCAAACTGGCGTTCCTATTTGTGTTTACTACCAAAGAAATTGTTTTATATATAGGTTCGGATTTCGACTAAGATTGCAAAATACATGTTAGTCGAAATCAAGAATAAGAAGCCAATAAGGGCAGGGCATGTATATAGCACGACGGTAAGATAACTGCCAGTTTTAAGAGTAATTGACTGGATTCCAAGAGAAGCCAAGTGCTGGAGCGGGAGGCAGAAAGCTATAGGGTGGACGGATGAGATTAACTGAGAAATTTGCGCGGATAACTTGCCCGCAAAAAGCACAGGGCCCAGTTAACTGGAGAACCATGGGAGTGGTCTTTGCCGTGCAGGGGATGATGTTCGGCTGATGTAGATGATATGGTTCGGTGAGCTCACGAAAACTGGAATATTCAAATACCAGCACGTACAGAGGGGAAAAAAAGAAGGAAGGAAAGGCGGAAGGCAGGAAGGTTAAGCATGAAGCTTCCGGTTGGCTACCCTACACAGAGGGATTAGGGAAGGAGAATGTAAAGATGGGAAACGGTAAAAGGCTCCCAGGCCACGCTGTCGTATCAATATATACGTATAAAAGCTTGGCACCTCTTGACATCCTCTGTACATCACGAAAGCGCACAACTTATGCTACCCAACAGAGTTACGCGTCTATTTTACTGAACGCCGCTAGCAACCACGCATTGCGGAGAAACTGACGCCGAGGTCTGCAAATTATTACGCATAAAAATAACGTATTCTGCCACACTCTCGGCCGAAAACAGTGCTTTGTGATAGGTGGAGAGGGGGTGGAAGTTGTAAAGGGATGTGTCTACTTAAGACAGGTAGTAACCGCGGAGCCGAACCACGAGAGTGAACTAACTAGAATAATAAGGATGGGGTGCATCACATTCGGGCAACCATTCTCAAATCATGAGCGGTAATTACCACTAACCCTCAAGAGGAAGGTGTATAACAGCTACATCTTGCCGTTACTTACCTATACGGAGCAGAAACCTGGAGACTTACAAAGAGCGTTCTGCTTAAATTGAGGACGATGGAGCGAGCGATGGAAAGGAAAATGATAGGTGTTTAAGAGACAAGAACAGAACAGAGGGGGTCAGGGAAAAAACCGGGGTTAATGATATCATAGTTGAAATCAAGAAGAAATGGACATGGGGCCGTGCACGTAGTGCATAGGCAGGATAACCGCAGGTTATTAAAGTGAACTGACTGGATTCCCAGAGAAGGCAAACGCACGAAGGGGATACGAAAAGTTAGGTGGACCGATGAGTTTAAAAAGTCCCGCAGGTATAACGTGGCAGCAGAAAACACAAGATCGGGTTGATTGGCGGATCATGGCCGAGGCATTTTTCCTGCAGTGGGCGCAGTCTGGCTGATGCTGACGATGATGTCGAACCCAAGTTCTGTATTTCCCAACGCCGCCGCTGTAGTGAACTGGATTAATACTGGTTATTGCCTGTAAAGTTCATCGCCTGTCAATGACACGCCAGACATGTCACTTGCGAAAATGGAGTGCAGCGCCGCCGCATAGCTGTGGTTGCTAGCCGGACTTATGCGTAACTCTGCTAGCTAAATAAAGGTAACATATAGTAACTCCCGCGGACATTTGCTGCCATCTGGCGACCGAGCAGGTTCGCTCGAAGGAGTGGAGCGAGTCATCGACGATGTGGAGGGAGAGACGGGAGGGAGGGGGGATGCGAAGCGGGAGAGCGAGGCAATCGCAACGGCGGTGGCGATGGGTCCCGCCGACGCTGACGACGTCTCCGTTTCCGCAGCCGGCTGCGGAGGCGGGTTTGCCAAGGAAAGAAGGCCGTCCCACTGCGGGAAGTCCGAATCGAAATGCGGAGTCTGCGCCGGCGCGCCGCGGAACGCTGCAGAACGCCGGTAGGCGTGCCGACCGAAGACGTGCGACAAGCGCGTCGACGGTCCGCCCCCGACGGCACCTGCGCGTCAGAGACACACACGAAAGACAGACGAAGCGCGACGACTCGGCGACCAAGAGAGGCGTGCTTTCTTCTTCGCCACGAAAGAGAAAAGTTTCACGCAAAAAGTGAATAAAGCGCCAGAAAACCTCGGAGCCTCCCACTCACTCTGGCGCCTCAGCGGCGGCGCCCGGTATCCCTTTCTACCTCTACCTCTACTCTGCTTTCTTACATTTTCCCCCCAGGACCACCGGGACAGAAGACAGGGCCCCGGGCCCGAGAAAAAAAACTCGACGTAATGTCGTGCGCGCACGCGCTTCCATGGGTGGGGTGGGCCGCTTCCTTCCTTCTCACGGGTCGCGCGCTCGCCCGTAGATCGTTCAACCTACTACTCTTCCCCCTCTTCTGTTCTGCGGGCTTCCTCTGCACGCACTTTACCGAGTTTTTCTCTCTGGCCTACGCTTCCTGGAGGCCCCATCGCATCGTTCGGTCGTCCTCCCTGCGCACCAGCCTCCACTTATATTCGCTCGCTTTGCCGGTTGCGTTCTCATCGCACGTACTGTACAACGTAAGGAGCGCCCCTGCTGGTATGGAGCGCTTACATGCTGTGGTCCTAAGTGCGATGCATCTCGAGGGGCTGCCTACCTTTTTCTTGGCAGTCTCACGTGAATTCCCGGTGCACTTACTCTCCTCCGCCCGTTTCTCTTTTTGTTCGTGTCCGCCGATGGTCTGAGGTTTTCTATTTATATTCGGGGAGCCCGACGAGTGTGTTTTATTGCATTATAGACGAGACCAGGCCTCGTCTCCTCAGGACTGAATGACATGGACTTTTTTTTTTTTTTCATCCGACGTACGCGATCTTTGGTTCAGGTAATGCACGGAAGCTTCCACGGGAAAATATCCACGCTTTGCCACGAACCTTAATGCATTCCAAGACGTATAGAGTCGACTTCCGGAGGCAGCCTTGTGCGGTGAATGATTGCCTTCAATTTCAATTAGAAACAACAGGCAATGAAGGCTTGATTCTCTGATGGTTCTCACTAACGTTGTGTGTAACAAACAAAACGAGCTCTTGAAGTTCCTTGACTTTCGTGGTTTCAATTTCAATGTAATAGATACGAGATATTAGACAGTTGAATAGAGCA